TTGACAAGGACGTGTAAGTTGTTTTTACGCGCACTCGCCCAAGTATGATTGTCGGCCATATTTAAAAAAATTTTAGCTGCTTTAGTTTCGGAGCAAAAAAAAATTGCATCAACTTTCAGTTGCACGAAATTTACTTTCACGAGCACATCAGTGCACAGCAAAAATCAACGCAAAGTCGGAGTCCTCAATTTGATCCCGATGTTGGCATGGCGCCAATTTAAATTGACATGTAACGTGGACATTCATTTTTAACTTGAAGAACGTAGACATTCATATTGCGCTTGGTGGCCCATGTATAGGTGTAAGCGAAGTCGCCAAAACAACTTTCACTCTTCTTTAACCTTACACGCATTTCGCCGTAACTCCGGAATCAAAGCAGCTAGAGGGCTCAAATTTTTCGGCTATGGGCCACAACTGTGTTTTCGCAAGTGCACATAAATACAACACGTAAGTTTCCCTTTCCGTGCGAAAACGTGGAATTTGATGCAACTCTGCAAACATAGCAGCTAGATTGGTGAAAAAAAATTTTTTTTTCTTATGGCCTACGATCATGTTAGTAGGAATTCTTGATAACTTGTGGCGACATTTTGAATTCGTTTGGTTAGGAGGAATATCCGTCAAAAACCAGATCTACTTAAAAACAGACCGATTAAACAGATCTACGTAGAAGTGGGCGAAAAACGCGTTTCTGCACAGGCAAGCCTATTGCCTTATTTTCTGGATTTTTGTCCCCTTAATAGTAGCAGCGATATTTTCAGGTTGTTGAACTGCCTTTGGTGAACCCCGATCTGTTCCGCCGCGTTGGTATCACTCCACCTAAAGGATGTTTATTATACGGCCCACCAGGAACAGGCAAAACTCTTCTGGCAAGGTTCCACATAAATTTTATTTCATTGTTAAACTGCTTTAAACGACTGTAAGTATTTCATTTTGGGGATGCAGCAGCGTAGAGTACTGAGAAATTCGCCAGTGTTTATTCGTTTTCAGGGCAGTTGCGTCGCAGCTGGATTGTAACTTTCTCAAAGTTGTGTCATCGGCCATTGTGGACAAATACATCGGCGAATCAGCGCGCATGATAAGGGAGATGTTCAATTATGCGCGGGACCATCAACCGTGCATTGTGTTCATGGACGAGATTGACGCTATCGGTGATTTCTCATAGAAAATTCAGCAAAGATTGCCAGAAAAAAAAAAAAA